TCTGGCTCACCCACACTGACCAAGGGTGCAGGCGCGCCACTGAGCATCCATACTTTATTTGGGAAGATTTTTCTTGGCTTAGTTTGGCCAAGCTATAAGAGGGAAGCTAGGGCACGACCTGATAGACTTTTGGCCAAAGTTGAAGGCTCTCTTGAGGGTTGGATAGAAAACCATAGGGTTGGAAGAGAAAACTTCTATGGTACCTTTTTGCTAGATTTATGTTGAGGTTTAGGTGAGAGTGGAGAGGTTGACGACAACTGTATGAGAGGATATTTTTGAGAGCTTGTATTGAGCAGAGAGGAATGTAGTTTATTGATAAGAACCGATTGGCTCTGAGTGAGTTTTCTGTACCTCTTGTATTGCGACCTTTTTTATTATACCTGCAATAAAAATTTTTCGTGTTTTCTTTTCTCATGCATTTTGATTGACTTTGTTTCATGCTCCCTATAATGTAAGGCATGTGAATTTTATTGTTTTGTTCTATGGATCATGTTCCCTAGACGTTCTTTCTATGCAAGAACTTCATATGTTAATATATTATTTTTTTGGATTTAATTTACTTCAATTCGAACACGACGGAATGTTAAAATATTTTGTGATTAAAAACTTATGCCCATCACCTAGAAGAACGAAAAAGTTCAAAAAAACTAATGAAATTGGCATATTATCACTAAGATTTTACAACCAAGACAGGGAACTAAAGAATCTTGGAAAATACTGCAGTGTTAAGTGTCCCTTAACTTTATAGTGGTTTTCACTCTTCTTATGACCTAGGCATAGGCTAAATACGAGCTTTTATCCCAGGTTATCAAAAATAACGTGGGTTCTATAGAAATACTTCGAGAAATCTTTTGGTCAGTGCATAGGAATATGAACTTTTCATATTTGTAAAACCTCACAAAACATAGATTGTTTTTTTTTCTCTGTTTTAGTACTGCATTTCTTTTACTTGTAATTGCATGTTCAAACTAGACTTAGCGGTTTAGTAAACTAGAATTTCCCCTGTTGGGAATATTTTAACTTTTTTCTCGTGGGATCGATAAGCGTACTCATTCTCTTATATTATTTGATCGACACATATACTTGTGTGATTGATCGATTTGTCTCACCAATTTCGGGGCATCATATATCATTTGATTTCTCTTAAGTGGTGTGCATGTAACCTGATTAGATCAATGTGGTGTTCTCTCTCAAACATCTGACGACTTCCTCCTCGAAACCTACTGCCGCATGTTATTGGACAAAAGAAACCTATTGTTATCTCCACACTGGACCAATGTCCATCTACCAATTGCACCAAGTTTTAGCATCATGAATTTCTCCCCTATTACTTATCACACCAAAAATGGTGCAAAAATGATTTGAAGACACCATGACAAATAATCTCCTACATCAACAATCAAATGTTACGCGTGGTGCTAGGAGTACATCGATGAGATCTCTATTCACGTCCACCACATCAGGGCATGCGTGGACATTTTAGAGGAGCTCCTTGCACCAAACAAGCATAAAAATAGCATAATATAATTTCCTAATTGCATCAAGAAAAGGCATATATAAGATTAAGTAGTAGTCGAAAGTCGATCTTTATACGTTGCATGAATTTGAAAGAACCACATTGAGAGAGTGAGAGAGAGAGAGAGAGAGATGGCAAGGAGTGGAAGTAATTGATGGGAGGAAAGTTTTCTTGAATGCAAACAAAAAGCAAGAGTTTGCAAAGGGAAATTAGTAGAGTGAAGGAGAAGGGTAGTGGGAGGAAATGTACATGTGAAAAAAAGGTATAGAGAAAAAAATGGGACAATTGTATCAGAAAAAAATAGCATTTAGGTCTGGCAGCTCTCTCAATGCATTATATGACATTTTATGAAATTTAAAACTGCACAAGAGTGTCACGATCTGACCCCGATACTTAGAGTTAACCAAGGCAAAAGCGGAGAGTAAAAATAAATATTTCTAAACAATAATATTAATCCACAATAACATTTAATTATAAAAGTCACTAAACCACCATATATAAGTAATTAATCTTTAACAATACACAAAAAGGCATCTAAATATACAATAAACCAAGTACTACAATAAAAAGTGAAAAAATATATAACAAATAGTCTGCTACCTATCATCAAAACTCTCTCCGTTCTTATAAACAAACTCCCTCATATCGGTCATATATGTTTGGAAAATGTTTTCTTTTTGAAAGAACAGTTAAACAACAGATTAAGTTTAAAGAACTTCGTGGACAATTAAAATTTTATCATGCAAATGCCTAACATGATGGTTCAAAAAAATATGTTGATTAATCTTTAAGGTATACTATGAATTTTTCATTTCACAAATTTTTTATTTAATTATCTTAAACAATTACATTTGAATTCTTTTTAATAAATTATGTTTTTTTTTTCTTTTTTTTTCCTTTTAGAAATTATCTCAGGAGTACAATTAAAATATACCAATAAAGGTACAACGTTTATCATGTTGTATCACAACGATATAACATTTAACATTTATTTTACCATTTTGCATCAAAAAGATACACCATTTATCATTTTTTTTACTTTTAACATGCACAAGTATAATGGTATCGTGTCAGCATCAGAAGAGGGTGACTCATGATAGACTCAATTATTTATCTTTTATTCATTTATATTTTAATTTTTCTACTAGTATATGCATTTACTTTTTCATTTAATACAGTGTAAAAGATAAAATAATTGAAATCATAAAACAATCATATTATTTTCCTCAATTTTGTTTTGATTATAAGAGTTCTTTTAATATAAACGGATAAATGAAATATTTTGGAAATAAAAAAATTGAATTTCATTCAAATAAAATAGTAATAGTTCACATTGATTTCACCTTATAAAACTATACCTTCAAATCGTTTAACTTGTGTTATATCTTAAATTAATTTAAAAAATAATATTTAATACCTATAACTTAATTTAACGTAAATATTATATTAGCTTATGAGAATCCTTACCTGCATTATTTTCCTTCTTTCTCCTTTTGCAAAATTCTCAATCCAAACTCACAAATCTTTTGAATTGGAAGTTCATCAATCCCTGATTTAATAAAACCAAATATTAACAATTACCATAGACATTTAACTTAATAATTATTCTAAAAAACTAAAAAACTTGAACCATACATTTCCATTTTTCTCCTTCTGTTCAAATCAACAATTACGGTCTCCAAATCTTATGGAGCAAAACTTCTTTGATTTCTACCATCGATTGCAATAAAACTTATAATACTTAACTTATTATTGAAGTGACTATAAATAATTTTTTGATTGAACACTTACCTTTAATATCCCAACTTTCTTCTTGTTCAAATTCAATATCCCCTTTCCTCTATGCTTTTTGATGTTAATTAACATAATAATATTTTTAATTAAAATTAATAATATGGTTAAATCATAAAACCCATAAACCCTTATCTCTATTGCACAATCACTAATCTTGATATTCATTATCATTTAATTCAATAGTTGGCCCAATCTTAATTCACTGATTTTTTTATTCATAAGTTGTTAATATTAACTTAATAACAATTAATTAAAAAAACATAACAGTTTATATAACTAAAATACAACCCTAACTCCACTGCTTTCACTGCGTGCTCGATTAGACAATTTCACAGGAGCATGCTCCCTTCCCGCAAAATGGCGTCGCTCGCAAATGAAGCTATAAGGCTCGTTGGGGCTCAGCTTCGACTCTTCCCCTCTCATACGAATCTGCTTGGTTTGGCTCAGTGTAACCACACTAAATCTTCTCCTCCCTTCCTAATTCCTACACACAAGACAAAGATGCAACTTCGATTTGGCTTGCTCGATCCATCTCCCTGTCATCGTCTCTCGTAGACAAGCCCTTGGAATATTGCAAAGATGTTGTTCCTCGGGTCAGAGAAGCATGCGACTGCCCCATTTTCTCTGGCTTCTACTTTTGCTCTGTGCCTATTCTCTGATCATACTCCTTTCTCTAATTTGAACGAGACTAAATTATTAGCATCCAAACGACAAATCCGTCTCGACGGTTCATTTTTGTTTGACCCGTCCTACCAAAATTAAATTTATTTTTATTTTTAACATGGTTAATAGAATGAGAAAAGCAAGGAATTACTCTATCCTCCTGATTTTGAATTTTGAGAAGCAAAAGTTTGCCCATAATTCAATATATATATATATAGGATCCTATGTTAAATCTACTTTTACAAAGAACCAAATAGAGCAAAGCAGAACTGAAAAAACAAAAAAGTAAATGTATAAATCAACGAATCTGTTTTAGTTTATATTATGAATGAACTATCATTGTTTATTTTAAATTGTATGGCTGAAATTTAATTTGATCATATAAATGATCAAACTATAAATACAAATGATAGATATTTCTTATGTATGTTTTATATTTCATAAAATAATTACCTTTATGTTTTGTCAAATATTTGCATCATTATTAAGAAATGTTTCTATGAAATTTAGAAACATTTAAATAAATTTGATACTTATCATGTCATCTAATTCAAACATAAGTTAAGTTTTGTTTCTATTTCAATGTTTGATTCAATTTTAATATCTTCACACACACACACACACACACACACAATTATTTTTACTTAATAAATTTGTAAAATAGACAAATATACATATTATTTCTTGTGAATTTCAATTTGCGCATGGTGAATTTTTGTCTTTCTAATTATGAGAACCCTAACAAAGGGCTTTCCAGAGTAATTCTGATGTTATGGACTCACCATGACAGTTGGATTTATGAAATGGGCAACAGTTGAGTATGTTTTTCATTTAAGAAAACATTATATTATGAGATGATTCAACATAAAATTGCACGCACTTCCGTCAGTCATCATCTCATTTAATTAAGATAGCTTCAGGACCACGTGGAAGTTAATAATGAAATAAAAGTAATTTTCTTTAAGAAAAAGATTATTAAACGTTTTAAATTTACAATGTAATGTTCTTTCTAGATAGAGCTGCGTACCTAATCTTTTGTACAGCTTGAGAGATGAATCCACCATTCACAGAACAAACTTTGGCATTAGTTTCACGGGAGGCATTCAATGGTGCTAAGTGCTGACCAAAAGCCCTTTCATTCAAAGTTGGATCAATAGCCTCGCAAAAAATATCTAGCAGTTGGATTTTGCTGAGTTTCCCCACTTCAAACAGGCACTGAAACAGATATAAATAGGAAGAATAAAAAGTTTAAAAACATTATAAAATTATTCGTTCAAACTTATAGCACAATTAAATACGATCAAAACAAACACCCATTTAGGGAAACAATTGGGCAAGTTACACAATAATGCAGATTTCATGAAAATGGTTCCTCGTTTAATGATTTTATCAATGGACCAAGGGTTTTAAGCATCTTCTTCTCGACAAGTTACCGATAAAAAAAAAGTTACCAATAAAATAGTGTTCACGCTAACTCTATAATAATTTTGTAAAATATCATTTAAGACATGATAAATATATTAAAAAACATTAATATATACGCAATGGAAAAAGACATGGACAAAGTAAAAGAAAAGTTGATGTAGTATGTGTATGCGTGGTGGAGGGGGATGCAAGTACACACTACAAGGGGATCAACAACACAACACTACGATCACCATTCTCCCTATACATTTCTCACCATTCAGGGTGTGTTTTGGAGGGCTTTTTACCTGCTTTCCATTTTGAAAAACACATTCTGTGTGTTTTGAGAGCCCGCTTATTCGGTACTTTTCGTAAAATCCAGTTCACAAAACCTTCGTTTATAAACAGCGGGGAGGGGCTCAGTTCTGAGGAACAGTTTGCGGCGCTGTTGGGAAAAGACGCCATTGTTGTTCTTCTTTTCCGCTTTTGTCTTGTTTGCTCCATGATATTTACCCCTAGTTGACTTCTCTTCCGTCTTCATTGTTGGTATTTGGGATTATGGCGTATCAGTGCCCCACCTTCATTGTGAAACATCTACATGTATCACAAACGTTCCTCTTTGGTTTAGGGTCACACAAAAAAGCTTTATTGATTAATTGTTGTTGTTTTTTCTTCTCTGTTGCCGAATTTCCAAACTCTGATTTTTTTTGTAATGACAAATTTGGGGTGTGCATTCCATGCTATTTTGATTTTGAATTCCATCTGATAACTCCGAATTTGTGGATGGCTACTTTGTTTTTAATTTTTTGTTTAGGTTTTGCATTCCATGCTATTTTAGCTTTTGTTGGATTGGAAGTTTTAGTTTTCATTTTTATGTTAAGGGAATTTGTTGTTCTACGGGTTTATGATTACGAAGTGCTCTTTTCTTTGTTTGTTATTCGGTACTTTTCGTAAAATCCAGTTCACAAAACCTTCGTTTATAAACAGCGGGGAGGGGCTCAGTTCTGAGGAACAGTTTGCGGCGCTGTTGGGAAAAGACGCCATTGCGGGGAGGGGCTCAGTTCTGAGGAACAGTTTGCGGCACTGTTGGGAAAAGACGCCATTGACGCCATTTTTGTTCTTCTTTTCCGCTTTTGTCTTGTTTGCTCCATGATATTTACCCCAAGTTGACTTCTCTTTCGTCTTCATTGTTGGTGTTTGGGATTATGGCGTATCAGAGCCCCACCTTCATTGTGAAACATCTACATGTATCACAAACGTTCCTCTTTGGTTTAGGGTCACACAAAAAAGCTTTATTGATTAATTGTTGTTGTTTTTTCTTCTCTGTCGCCGAATTTCCAAACTCTGATTTTTTTTGTAATGACAAATTTGGGGTGTGCATTCCATGCTATTTTGATTTTGAATTCCATCTGATAACTCCGAATTTGTGGATGGCTACTTTGTTTTTAATTTTTTGTTTAGGTTTTGGATTCCATGCTATTTTAGCTTTTGTTGGATTGGAAGTTTTAGTTTTCATTTTTATGTTAAGGGAATTTGTTGTTCTACGGGTTTATGATTACGAAGTGCTCTTTTCTTTGTTTGTTTTCTCTAAATTTGTATTCATATGCTGAGAAGGTTATGCTAAAAATTATGTTTGGAATTACGATGAATTCCAGTTGTTCTACGGAGTAAAGATATTTTTTGTGTTTACGATAACAATATGCACTTTTTTTGGGTTTGTTGTTATGTAGGTTTGGTGTCATATGTTGAGAAGGCTATGCTGAGAATTATCTATTTAAAATTTTTTTTTTTTAAAAGTTATCTATTTGAAATTATGATTCATGGTTGTTGTGCTATAGGGTTTTGCTGAGAGTTTTGTGGTCGGGGTTGCTCTTATTAGATCTTTGTTGGTTGGGAATTTTGTTGGTTATGCTTGGGGTTGCTTTGGTTAGGATCCTATTGACTGTGGTAGGGGTTGCTTTGATTGGGGTTTGGTTGACTGTGATTGGGGTTACTCTAGTTAAGGATTGGTTGGTTGTGGTTGAAATTACTCTTTTTAGGTTTTTGTTGGTTGTGGATTTTATTGGTTGTGGTTGGGGTTGCTCTACTTGGGGTTCGGTTGACTATGGTGGTTTTGGATTTTATTGGACGTGGTTGGGGTTGCTCTGGTTGGGGTTCAGTTGACTATGGTAGGGCTGCTCTGGTTAGAATTTGTTTGACCGTGTTTGGGGTTGCTCTGGTTAGGTATTTGCTATGGTAGACAAATGGATTGGTGAGCTGCTCCAATATCATACTATATTTCGGATGTTGAAAAATTTTTTTATGATTTATTAGATGAATTGTAGAATAATTATGGTTTGCATGAATCATCCCGATTTACACCAAGAGAAGTATTAGCCATCATTTTATATATTATGTCTTATAAAGAGTTCATTCGTGCTGTTTCCGAGCAATTCTAGCCTTTAACATAGATAATCAACATATATCAAACTCGTAGATCCTGCTTTAGGGCATACACTGATAGAAATTTGCAAAGAGATGAGATACATGTCATTGTTCATGGTATTGATTTATCTTATTAATTTGAATGCATGTTTTATAAAAAATAATTGTACTTGTGAATGTTATAAATAGGATTGTACATGAGCAATTGATAACATGTATGTCAATGCACGCGTTGCAACAATGATAAAATTGCATATATCATATGTTGTGGGTCTACAACACAATCTCTTAGCAATTTGTAACTCCCACATGTGTTTTACATTCTTAAGGGATGAATGAGAAGAGCTCATGATAGCTGCATATTCAAATTTGCTACTCGACAACGTGAATAAGAATTTTCAATGTCACCCCCTAGTAAGTACATTCATAGTCATATACGAAGTGTTTTTGAAGAGATGTACTAATAATATTATTATTCAAGGAAATATTAACTCATTGATTCAGGATATCCGATGCAACAAAGTTTCTTAAAACCCTTCCCCAATACGAGGTATCACTTTCCTAATTTTAAGCGCGACAATCAAGTGTTCAAAGGGAGGATTGAATTGTTCAACAAAAGGCACTCATCATTATAGAGTATTATCGAGAGAGCATTCGATGTATAGAAGAAGTGGATCATATTCTGAGGTATGCCGACATATTCCTTAAAAAATAGAGCATTCGATGTATAGAAGAAGTGGATCATACTCTGAGGTATACCGACATATTCCTTAAAAAATCAAATAAAAATAGTTGCAACGACAACACTGCAAAATTTTATACGGAGACATCTATCTCGAGACAATACAATATTGATTTTAGGGTCTTAAATGAAGATCTGTCATGCATATCTGTAGAAGCATTCAAATATCGAGCATGACAATCATTGCTCGAGAAAGACGGAGACATCTATCTCGAGACAATACAATATTGATTTCAGGGTCTTAAATGAAGATCTGTCATGTATATTTGTAGAAGCATTCAAACATCGAGCATGACAATCATTGCTCGAGAAAGACTTTGGTACGAATGACTTCAACACACTCAATGGGGAGAGTGTTCAAGAGATGATCTAGTTGAGAGAAGAAATTACAGATACTTTAGTGAATTCATTGCATATATCTAATTAATATTTTGTAATGTTTTACGATTAATATTTACACTTCGAGATGTATTGAGGATTTGTTAATATCCATTTTCACATCCATGTTTCCATGTTTTAATTTTTAAGTTTATAACTTTAGATATACATATTTTTCGTGTCTTTTTCTGATTATGAACCCTAATATTTTTTTTATTGCTCGATTGTATGTGGTCTAATTTGTGGATTAAAAGTATAATGTATTATAATCTCAAGGAAAATAAGTTCAAAGTCATCAAGTACTTTAGGAGTTCTATACTATCATTATGATACGCAGCGGTTTGAATACACATCAAAAAGTGAAGCCAGTTATGAGAAAAAAAAATTATCGATGTCCCAAAAATAGAACACACGAGGATTGCAAGTTTTTTCGATGGACTGATGATATAAAGCAGTTTACTCTAGAGCGACCAAGCGGGAGAGATGTTTTGAACAGAAAATTATCCTAAAGACTTGATCGTCTAAAAACGAAAGTGAGCGTCATTATAGTATTAGTTATTTTTTTAGTTTTTATTATTGAGATATTATGCATAAAGTGATGACTTATAATTGATGTATTTGAGAAATTTAGACTTCTAACATGATCTTTGTAATGTTAAAGCTGTTTTTGTTATCCTGCTACAAGTATTTTGAAAACCGCAATTATTCGACTAATTTACATTTGTAAAGGCATAACTGTCTTTTTACGAGAAATAGCTACAGCATACAGCAGCTTCCTGACAGCAGCTACGAAGTTACTTACCTAGGAAGCAGCTTCACAGTTATTTCTGCAAAAAGTCACAACCACCTCAAAGACAACCTAAGTAGCATTCTCATAAATAAAAGGACAGCGTACAATGTCATAGACTAGCTATATACATAAAGTTAAAACAACTCATTATTCAAGAGACAAAATATTTGATTCATTTTCTCCTATCTTCAAAAAGAAAGATGAAACAGCACATTTTCATTCATAATTCAAAACCCAACTTAAATTAGGAAAAATTCTTATTACATCAGATAGAATATCAAGTATTTATCAACTATCATGTCAAGATATTTTATCATTCTCTCATCTTCATATTGAACCCTAATGGCTAACTATTTCTGACTTTTCTAAATTGGATCCTTACCATAATTATTTGTCTAATAATCTTTTGCTGATCTAATATCTTCAAAAAGCTTTAAAGTTGCAATACATTTCAGAGTGCTTAAATTGTAGTCATATGATTAATAGTACCCTTTAATAATCTCTTACATGAATAACATGGTTTCACTAGAACCTTTGTTAAAATTTTAACTCTTTCAAAAAATTATTTATTTTGATGGTTTGGTAAGGCCTTGTGAGTGTCGCTGAAAATAGTTTAACTGGTAAAATGTGAGTGCATCTCCTTAACTTAGGCTTTAATAGATCGCAATTTGCTCAATCAATCAGGCAACTTTCAGTGAAAATAATTAAGCTCATGGTTTGATTTCGTTAGCCCAACCTATTGGATATCATGCAAATTTAATAGCCTTATATCAGTTCAAGCTATTACATTTACTTATTATATGCATATATTTGTCATTCTTTGCACCTCCAAATACTTGGTGGAAATAGGGACTAAGTTGACCTCCTTCCAAGGAAAGCTGATGCAAATTAAACATATCGGAAGATACTTATTGAGTTAAAGGCTGTGCGTATAAAGTTTGTGAAGTAGTTTTATGAGACCTTACGACATTATAAAGTAAGGTAACACATAGCCAGTGATACAAATTCAGTATGGATATATAGAAGAGATGCATAACCAACATTGTAATGACAATAAAGTGAGAAAAGAAGGTAATAAATAGGTTTCATAGTACTAATTGCCCAATGTCATAACTGGAAAATACAAATTCACATGCATCACATAGTCAAATGGTAAATTAATGTTTAACGGACAATATCAACAATAAATGCATGATATAGCTTGTCAAGTCTAATAAGTCCTTTATGGATAATTACATGAATATGAATAAAAAGTCAACCAAGGAACGTGATAATAAACAGAAAATAAAGCAAAAGAAATTTATATAAACAGAATAGTGCAAGCTTGATAATTCATATTCTTTTCAAGAGAGAATTGAATAGGTTTAACTGTATTACCAGAACTGCAGAACTCCAACTGTTTTGCAGCGACTTCAACTTAGACAAGCCTTGCACAAGACTATTGTTTCCTATAGTTTTCCCCCTGGACACGTCACTCCCCAATGTAAAAGCCAATGCCAAAATAAGCAATCACTATCAGAAACAGGAATAACATGAGAAGTCAAACCTCTGACATGATGGTAAATCAGAAGCATAGCTCCTCAAAACTTCAGATAATGATTCACACTTGCCAGACCAGAAAGCCTGCAACAATAAATATGCACAAGACAAAAATAGATTAAATAAATTCAGCCACCAAGAAAAAAGAGACTGACATTTAAAAATCAAACTTTCCATCTAAACTGTGGCTTCAAAGATGTTATCCAGGCAATATACAGAAGAAATTACAAGAATGTTTTTAGAATTTAGATACTGAGTAATGCTGCAAAAAAGGGATTCAAATATGAAGCCAAACATCAACATAGGCGGTGTTTGGCTGCAACCTAAATCTACGTTAAATAGGATTTATCAAATCCAATAATTCAATACTCTGTGCGACGGAGACGAGCTTGCGAGCGACCGGCGGAAGAAATTCTTAAATCCACATAACAATCGGATTTACTAATCCAGATTTACGTCCTAATAGAGACAGAACACATGAAGAAAAGACGGAATGTGAAAAAATTTGATTTAACTGGACACTGGATTTAATTTTCATTTTATTTATGTTGGTTGCATTTACGCTAAATTCATGGCTAATCATATTTAAATTATGCTATCAAATACCGCCTAAAAATTATATTTTACTAAGTTGAAGCCTAAGAAGCGCAAGGCCTAACAAAACTTTAAGTGGAAATGTTAATTAATTCCAGTTAACACTCCATTTAAAGTTCCACACTTCCCTGACCAGAAGCCTGCAGATGGAAAAATGAATATGGTGAATAATAGACTACATGACTTCAGCAGACTAGAAATCTAGAACATCATTCTGGAACCAAACTGCCATGGAATAATGGGTGCTGAAAAGATATTCAGTCATTTATTATTCAATATGTAAACAAAGAGAAGTGCTCTAGCATGGAAATATCTGTGGCATATGAGGAAGAAAGAAAGTGAAGCTGAATATGTAAGCTTAAAGACTACATTATACCATCAAATCCATGCCAAGGGTCATTATTTAAAGCTATACCCCATAAAAATATCATAAACGACTGATATTAAATTTAGCAAATGTCATAGTTGGCATAGATCAGAAAATTCAAAAGGCAGGAACATGGAAAATAAGTTGCATTAAGTATCCCAGCAGAGTTAAGTAAAACCTCAGAATCTTCATGAAGCATGCCCGGACACAGAAAACTTAAAGGTACCGCGGAGAAGTGTTTAATGCAAGCAAGCTGCAGAAGAAAATAACCATTTAACACAGGCAAGCTCCAGCGAGAAACTGCAATCATAATGTCCTTTCATAAACAATTGTGTGCATTAAAAAAGAATGGCATGTTAGAACGAGAGAGCAGGCAAAAGCTGAGAACGTTCACCTTCAGTGCCTTTAAGAATGAGGTCATCGTTCCATCATGTGTATGGAAATGGTTTCTCAAGAAGCATGCAACCTTGTGGCCAATAAAGAACCCAGAGCATGATTTGACAAGAACAGACTCAATTAGAGAATCCATTCTCCTTACAGGAAATTCCAGTGTGAACTTACAAAACTGCAAATTATGCATAACACTTGAAGGGAGAAGATTTCTTAGCGCATCAGAAGTCGTAGTCACCCCCAATATGAAAATGAATGGAATTTTCATCACCCATTCACTACAAATTTAAAAGTTAAGAGAGAGGATTGTAAAACAGGAAAGGAAATGTAAAATTTATTTTTCTTAATAAAAATATCAGTGGCAAGTTGAAGCAAAAAAAAGTTAGAATAAGGATTGTTCAATCTTACGCAGGTTCAATCTCAAAAAGGATAACATTAACTCCAATAAAAGTTCAAAAATCTAACATAGCTCAATCAAATTGATAAAAAGTCTCAGCTATCAAAAAGTAAACATAACATTTCATGTACTCTAGTTCTTTAGTTTGAGAACATAACTTTCCAAAACCCAGGCAATATAACATAATTTCAAGCTATGTTTAATAATAAAATGTCCTTTACATATCCGAAACTTTTGATTGTTATATAGACAATGAGGTGACAGAAACCAATTCAAAAAATCAACATTGTCAAATTTCACATTCTAAAAAATCTGAATTTCAAATAATCATAAAGATCACACAACTACTGGCTGTGAATGAAAAACTACACCGACGACAATTCTTAGTGAAGTTGAAGTATAACAGAAAAACAAATAACAAGTAGAATGCTCTCCTAAAGGGCAAAGCATGAAAATAAAGATATATAATAGTTACATTCAAGAAAATTCATTCAAACATGGTGATAGTTTTACATCTCAATTTTGTATAAAAATCTCCCACACAAACAAATAAAAAGAGATAAAAAGAAAGAATACAAGAGAGACTTTGAACCTGGAAAAAAAAAGTAGCAAGAGGGGTCTTGCCCAGATGAAATGATCATATGTAGTGGATGGACATTACTAAAATATTTTTTTTTTTTTGCTTAATCGTAAGAGATGGTGTTACAAAGTACTAATCTAATGTTGAAGGTGTGAAGAATGTAGAAGAAATAGCGGAAAAAAAAGATGGAAGTAAAAAATTGGCAATCCATTGCTGATGATATATAGTTGAGTTATAATGATTGAGCAACTCCAGTCAGATAGCAATATTCAAAAATGATAAGCGAGTGTGAAGTGGGAGCTGCCCCGGTTCAATGGAATTCCGTGAAATTGCAGATTCCAAGACCCCATTTACGTGGGATCAACGGAATGTAAGAGATCCTGTCTCATAAGCTCTGTAGCAGAAAATTTCCTCCGTGGGAACTCCCAATTTGGGATTTCTTGGGCGAGCAGTCCTTGTGCGGCCTATTTTTTTGTTTTTCAAATAGAATTAGGGTTATTTTGATAGGGAACTATTTATATCTTTTTATTTTATTGTTTTCGCAGACTTACTTCTATAAATTTTGATATTATATTATCAAATTTCAACCCAAACGAGTGTTGTATTATCATTTTTTACAAGTGGTGTGCTTGTAGATTGTTCACGAACCTGTGGTGGAACCTCCTCACCGTTTCATGGTTCTCGCTACTATTTTTTGGCCCCGAGAGCTGTCAAACACCACCTATCCCCTTCTAAAAGCAATTGATCTCCCATGTTCTCATTCTCATGCCATTCCACAACCACTTCCTCACTAAATAGGAATCCTCAAACGTTATCATTTAGTATTAGATCCTAACAAATCCTAGAACATCATGGATTTATTTTTTTTGCTCACAAACAAAAATTTCACAAAACCAAACATAATACCTCCACCCAAAAAGAAAACGATCATCCTCCATCTACCTTAACCCTAACCCTGTTTCACAAAACCAAACATAATACCTCCACCCAAAAACAAAACGATCATCCTCCATCTAGACTTAACCTTAACCCTAACCCTGAATTGTCATTTCATTTTAGCCGAAATTATAATTAGAGAAAGTGACGCCATGCAGGCAAAGAGAAAAACTCAATGGCATGTTCAAAAACTTAGTATAAAAGATATGCAGTGAAAAATCCTCCAAGTACGAAAAGACTTGTCGTCTTTGATATGAAACTACCCAGAGATGTTGTTCATAACCACAATGATGACTCACAAGAATGAAAAGAGAGTAAATCTCTTCTATCAAGAAACTTTCAGTGATTAAGAACCAATAACCCGTCACTTTGGCATTAAATACCAGAGTAGAGGCCCGGAATTTGGAATGAAGTTTGACTTGTTGGACTTTGACGAACATTTGGATTTGAATGAGTTTATTGAGTGGCCAGAACATTATTTTTAGTGCAAAGATGTTTTACAAAATAAAAAAGTTTAAATTAATTCATCAAGCTTAGGAAGAACGCTTTCTTGTAGTGAGAAAACTTGAAACATTATTGAGATTAGAAAGGAAAGAGCAAAATCACCACATATTCTAAGATAAAAAGGGACATGCAATGCAAATATCTTCTCCCAAAATGCTCAAAAGATATGTTCATAAAACTTCATAAACTGTTTTAGCGGGATTTCTTTATGGAGTACACAGCTGAATTTAATCAACTCATGCTAAAACATGAAATGGTGGAACTAGAGAAGCACACAATTTCAAGATATCTTGGATGACTAAAATCATCTATTAGTAATATGTGCAATTGAAACTATATTGATCCGTACTGATGTACAGACCCAACCTTTGAAAGTGGAGAAACAACAATGTTAATATATGACAACCGCATCCTATGGATAGAGCTCAACCTTAGGATCAGTCAACAAGAATACTCCCATCGCACCCAAGCTGACTCCTACTAAGCAGAAGTTCAAGGTTGAAAAAAAGTGGTTTTATTATGGTCAATTGTCCAAACATGAGGCTAATCTCTTTCACTGAGCATGGAGTAGTTAACGAAATGGACAGTGATATATGTGAGAAATGACAATGTCAAAGAAGAGTATCAACTTTCAGTCGATGAGTGACATATGCTAGTTGTTCGTCAAATCCTTCATACTAAACCCACAAGAGAGCAATAGTAGCTCCGCAATATCTTTCAAATTCGTTGCACTGTGAAGGGAATTGTGTCCAATTATATCATAGATGTAGGCAGTTGTGAGAATATGACGTCTAGCCAAATGGTCGACAAGTTGAATCTAGCAACACAAGCACACCCAACCATATTCTCGAGTGTGGTTGAACGATGAGAATGAGGTCACAGTTAACAAGATATGCCTCGTGGATTTTTCTATCGAAGACCTTTTCCAGAAGCAAATATGGTACAATGTCATGCCTATGAATACTTTTCACCACCTATTAGATCGTGCTTGGTAATATGATTGTTGTGCACATCTTAAAGTCTACAAGACATATATTTCCTCACACAAAATGATAAGTACATGTGTTTTCACCAAAAATAAGAAGAAATTAGTTTTGTGAATTTCACATGTGCAACTCAAAGAAGTGAGATTGGAGCGCTCAAAGCGGTAGAAAATGGATATAAGTAATTGAACTTGGGCGCCTAAGCGCCCATCCCATAGCACAATTACCGGCCCTATAAAATCTTTTTTTTTTTTTTTGTTGAGAGCAAGCATCTAGATGCCATAAATCCTATGCTCTAGTTTCAAAAACTTCAAAAACCAAGTTCACACAAAAAAGCAAGATCTTCTTTTTTTTTTTTGGTTGAGAGCAAGCACCTAGATGCCATAAATCCTATGCTCTAGTTTCACAAACTTCAAAAACCCAGTTCACACAAAAAAGCAAGATCTAGCAACCAACATGGCGCTAGCATCCATATTGACGTTTTTGTGAGTTGTGATTGTAATCTTTGGAAGAATCCTTGCATGAAATTGGCAATATAATTAGGATATAAATTAATTCATTGAGGGTGCTTTTTAGAGACTCTTACGGCATAGAGAAGAACAATAGCGACAAAAGAATAAAACGAGAACCCATGAAATCTGATTTTTTTTCGTTCTACACTCTTTGGATGTTTTTATGTCAATCATTTATTTGTGAGTATTTTAAGCATGAAATAAATCCCTATTATTGGACTTAGATGTACTCGAATATATTAATGGTTTAACGTTAATGTGATCCTTTGATCATATGCTCTCATTGTTACTATAAATTTTCAATTTATGCATATTTACTTATAATGTACTAGCCACTAATTGTAAATTTTGCAAGTTTATTTTAAATCGATTAGTGAGAAAAAACTCATTTTGGTTGGCATATCATGATAGCTCATAGTATAGAGATGCCTATGTTTAAATCATATAAACGTTTTGATCCTTTGTCATTTATTAGGGGAGTTTACGTACATAGCACAAAATTCTTATGTATTTGCATATCTCACACCTAAACTCTTATATTTGCATGCATAAATGTATTTGCATATCTCACACCTAAACTCTTATATTTACATGCATAAAACTCAAATATTTAATATTACATAAAAAATAGCACTATTATCTTTTTTTGAAAGTTAAATGCACCTTTTCAAGTACAGGTTTAAGACGCCAAAGTGCTATGTTCGTAAAAATTGAAATTTAGGTGCGAGATAAGTAAGTACATAAGAATTGTGTTCTATGTATGTAAACTCCCCTATTTATTAATAAGACTTATAGGTATTGAATTGATCTCAAAGATGATCTTATATTAGATTGATGAATTAACGACTCTAGGTTTTGAAAGAATGGTAGACATTATAGAATTTGATTACAACCAAATAAAATTTTATTCATTGGCTCAAATTGCAATTTAACAAACAGAACTTATCTCAGTGAAATATAATTCGAAGACCTTAGACACAAATTTCTACCCAACATGCTTTTTAATTTTTTTTAGTTTGAATGTTTCTTCTGCACATCATAGCCCTATTGTCAACCACTCAGTTGAAGTTATAACCAATCTGATTTCACTACTTAGTGGTACAAACCATATATGATCATATACTTATCATTATTTTATTATGTGTACGACGACATACTATTGTGCATGCATTTTGCATGACAGAGGCCTGTTTCCAATATATATCATGATCGCAACTATTTAAACCGAGTTCAACATTAGCTAAACGCTTGCTAAGATTCAAATACTTTACATCGAACATATTGAAGTGTCAAATAAAATACTCCTAGCAGTAAAGTATGAAGATCAACCAGTAATAACCGATGTTAATTTAAAGTCTGAATTCCAATGGCAGAAATGGGTTTATGAGTTCTTGAACTGTTGCAATAATGGAATATACATCAAAAGTGTAGCTAGTATAAGGATAATAGGAAAAATGGCACATCAATTATAATGCTTTTGATATAGAGAAGGAGACTATAAGGAGGGAGAGTATTTTTAAATTAATACATTCTTTTTCTTATCAAAGCAATAAAAAAAGTTTGATGAGAAAATACACTACTTTAAAAAAACTCTGACCACATAACTGTAAAAAAGTGATAAAATATAGAGTTGCACTTGTAAAATAAAATTGCCTCATTATTGCTCTTGAAAGATTCAATCAGAAAAAAAAAAATTCCAACATACCTTAGCATTTTTATAAAATCTGCCAAGACTGCACTATCACATCGCCCAACGTCATCAATTATAACAGTAATTGGCTTATCACGATTCTCATCTTCGCAAAACCATGAGGCTATTAAAGGTACATCAACAATCTATTGATAACAGAAAAAAATAAAAAAGTTAAAAAAAAAAGCAATTCATAGATATTTGATGAAAATTGTTCTTTGTAATGTAATTACTTACATCGGAAGCCTTTGAAGCAAGTTGTCGATATAAACTACTCAAGCAACTTCCTATACCATGCTTTGTCGACATATCCAAGGCCGAGATAAAAGCTGCATGACACCCATTAGACTGCATGTACCCTTTGAGATCTTGAAACGTCAGCAAATCATCAACAAATTCAATATTCTCTGCAAAGAATATCTATATATAAAAAAATCATTCATTTCTTTCTCATGACCTAACCAAATTTAAACATGTTCCATACTTCACAAATCTGCATAAGAAAATAAATAATTCGGGCAATGTGGCATACTTGTAAAGACCAGCGCTGCTGGAATCCTTTTGCATGTGCCACCTGTTGCTATTGGGTATGGCTTCATGATATGAACGAGACTAGTGGATCTGATAGAGGAGAATGATTCAAAAACCCACTGGTGAATCTCCTCGAACAAAGTGATGTTGATCTCCCTTAAAACATCCTAAAATATGAACATAAGTCGTAGACACACTAAGGCATTGTTTGGTAAAGGCTTTAAACTGTCTTAAAAATAATTAAAACCATCACAAAACATTAGTTAACCTCATTATTAACCATTGAAAGCAAAGCCTAGCTTTTCTCGCTTAGAGGAAAAGTAAGATGTCGGTTAATGGTTGGTTCGATTGTCCATTTATTCAGAAACAAGGAGCATGAACAAAATTAAAATAAAATAGAAGCTTAACCACAATTAAAATCAATTGATTGACCAAAGAGATAAGCTTGATATAGGCTTGTGAAGTTATTTGCCCTTTTTTTAGAGCTTTGGCTTCAATTATATGTAGAAGTCATGTTGGGTTGACAGATTTGTTGATTATCTGAAATCAAAAACCATCTTACCATCCGCAAGAGAACCGAAATTTATAATTAAAATTGCCATATAAAAGCAAATAAATGGTGAATTATGGAAAAAATCAACAATTTCACCATATTGATGTGCATGTAAAAACAAAGTCGCATGAATTCTAGACGAAGTTCATTCAAATGCATGTGGTAGCATTCTACTCATCAAACACTAGCAAACTAAATTATAGGCAATGTTACTTCTAATCAAGTATCAAAGGAATGGCCAAAAATTACTTTAGAAAATCTTTAAAATGTAAGAAATTTGCCTCCATGTAACTTGTCCATGGCCATATATAATCTACAAATTGGACTCAATCGACCCTTTCACACGAGCTAAAGGATATATAAAATTCATTACTGTAATAATCAACTACTTCATTAAATGGATAGAAGTCAACATGCCAACAAAGACAACTTCTAAGATTGCCTATAATTTCATTTGAACCGACATCATCCACCAACATGGTCATAAGAGTCAATTTGTCCATTCAAGCAAAATTTCAGTTCTAATTAAAATGAGTTTAATTCAGGCAAAGAGCAACAATTCACCCAAGAGCAAACCCACCAACAAAACAATCCTAATTCAGCCAAATAGCCGCATAATTAGACCCAGAAGCTAATTCATCAAACGAATCAAAAAAAACATATTCAGCCAAAAAAGCCTGTTAGCCAACTCAGCTATCATGATTCTCTTCTCAGCCTAAAGAACTATTCAGCTATTATGGGTTTACTTAGCCAAAGAGCCAACCTAAAATTATATTAACTTTCCTCATGCTTAATAGTAATTTTCAGCTCAATGGCAACACAATGAATGAGCAAATGAGACGAAAATGTAATATCTTTTTAAGTAGAAAGGGAAAAAAAATACAACTCAAGTAGTATTAATCTTGGTAAGTCCTTAGTGACAGTATAGAAAGCTTAAATATCTTCAAGTTGGGAGAAGCATTTGCTTGGTTAGCTTGATTCTCTTTTCAAATTGGCACATTTGGAGATCAAAATATTCACTGGATTTGATCAAAGAGCTAAAGGTTTCTCCAAATGTCTTCAATTTCTCTCACTCATTTTAGTGACTTCAAACTTTTCATCATTTTTCTTGAAGAGGTTCTTCACCATGGAGACCTCTGGTGAGGCAGTTTTAAATTCTTGTTACCCCTTCTCGGATTGTGTGGCTACCATAACAAGGTCATATCCTTCTAAAAAATGTCATTTTTCGTATTTTCTAAAATTTTAGTATCCAACACTTCGGTCTTCCGATTTGTCAAAGCTAACTTTAAGTTTTCCAAGAAATCCTACAAAACAAGGTTGCACCGCACTTGATGCTTAGCAGCTTTAAACTGCCTCCCGTAGCAGCTAGTCAGCATGTACACTGTCAGTTGACAACACTAGCCACATCATGGCAACTTGGAAATCGATCATAGGCACCCATCATTCTCAATCCTAAATTGTTTGAGAGAAGATAGCAAAACCAAGATCAAAAGGAAAAACACCATCCTCTAGTAACTTCGGATCAATAGAACAATCAATCTGGCCAATTTTCTCACCCTCTAGCTATTGACAAGCTTTCCACCTTTGGCTCTCAGGATGAAATTGACCCCTCTTTTGTGACAACTCAGTGATTCTCTCATCCTTGCGACTCCTGATCAATGAGGCGGGTCCCATTTCTAAGGTTCTAAGATAGCCGAAGGAAGACCCCTAAGGCTAGATCCTAACTCCCACAAGAAATACTAGACCTCACGAAAATTGAGGTCAACACTTAGTTGCCAACTTTTCAGTAATAAATATGACAGCAGACCAACTTGAACCAGGCCCAGAGATTTAATCCTTGTTGGGGGAGCTGCAGAGGTCTCAGCTATTGTAACCACTAGGAGATTAGTCACTCCTGAAAACTTCTAAGGTATGATCGCTTTAGACACAACTGAAGAAGTAGTAATTCCACCCTCAACGTTTTCACCTCGATAGCAAGTGACGGAAAAGGCTACGCAGCCAATAAAGAGCAAGTTGCAGTCGTCTCGCAAATGGTTTCAGCTATAAAAATTAAGATTATCTAGATGTTCAAGTCCTTGGTACCCACATTTGCTATATTTTTTTAAAATTGCTTTACTTTTTTTTAACTCCTTTCTAAAAAAATTCAACATCAGAATCATTAGATATTAAAAGAACATCAGGATATGTTAAAAAAAAAACAGTTAGAATTCAACCAACTTAATATAAAAAATAAACACTAGGTTGAATTAACATGTTCCAACAAAAAAAATATTTCTTAACATTGTCAAATTGAACCCAATTTTCTTCATATAAAAAGAAAGTGTGTAATCATCCTCCTTTTACTAGTCAAGTAGTCACAAAAAACAGAAGTTGGGCCTTGATCAGCTATTGTCAAAAGCATTTCACAAAAAAAAAATTATTTTTCTAATTTTGTATCTTACCTGAAATTTTGATATGATTGGATGAGAGAGAGCACTTCTGTCCTTAAAGCATTTATTTGTGAACAGATGTTGGAAGAAGATAATTTTTTACTCAATCTTCTTCTGATGTGGAAAGATTACGAAAGAGATCAGATTTGTGAATGAATTTTGTAGAACTTAAACTAGGATGACTAAGTGAAGGCAAAGTTGGAATCGGATTTTACAATCGTGAATTGCATTGTTGAACAGGATTTGGACAATTGCCTCCTTCGGAGACCGAATCAAGTAGGGCTCATCAATGTGTACAGTATTTAAGAAAACCTCAACTTCATAACTAACACCTTAGATAGTCAAGCACAAACGCATCACTCTTCAATGCCCTCACCATGATGAGTAAAATGCCAAAGATGATGCTCATAGAGAAAAGGCCTAAAATCTACAGAGAACAAAAAAGTACAAAAAGGTAACAGCATAAGTTCAAAGCTACTTATAAACATGAAAAGTTATGCCTTCAAGAAACGCCTAATCAAGGCTATTTTGGAGAATTTCTTATAACACAAATGATTTTTTTTTTTTTTGAAGATTTTTCCAAAGATTAACGTCATTGCTCGTCACTTTTAGAGATTATATAGACCAAGCACAACTTTTAAAATTCTTAAACTCTAAAATTTAAATGATAACTCATCTCACTATAAGAAAAAGAGAACTAAAAACTCGATAACAAAAACACTTCATCACAGTTTGCATTGCATTAATGGCGACATGAAGTCAGCTCTTCTATCCCTTATTTAAATTTGTTCAATATGAGGCCCACCTTGAGGCTCGTCTTAGCGCTTTTTTCAAAAAAGACCATAATGAGACTTGTGTCTGATTGTCCCAAGGCAAGGTGTACACGTCACACAAGCTGAGACGCACCTCAAGGCATGCCTCAAACTTTTTAGACTATACGTGATTTTTTAAACAAAATTAAAAGTAACATTAATATGTTTCAAATAGTAACATTCACACCTCACATATTAATAAAAAATAAATAAAAGGAAAAAATGTCCATAAAAATATATGTGGCTGTAATTTTAGTCATCAACAAATTTATTATTTTAATTAATATTTTTATTAATGAATATTTATTAAAAAATAGAAAATAACTATGATTAAAGATAATAAGGAATGAGAGAATATAGATATGTCGATGATTCTAACAAAAATTAATTGGATGATAAGAGAAATAGGGACTTATAAATTAAAAATTTAAATGTTGATGACTCGTTATATTTTTGTTTAGGTGGGGAATAATATGAGTGAGATGGAAAATTTAATAATAAATTTATTTTGATTGTTATGTTTTGATGTTTAAGTAACTTATTTTAATATTTTAGCTTACTTTAATAGTTTAATAATTGTAAAACTCATTTTATTTCATAATTTGATGTTAGGAGATTAACATGTTCTTATTTTACGCAAATAATTACTTTTTACTTAAAATGTTATTATAGTACTTTCTAACATGTTGGTAAATTAGAATATCAAAATAGTATTTCCTACTTAGCACTTTATAATTTATACAATATTAATTAATAAATGTAATTTTTTTTATATTTGAGGCTTGCGCCTCAAAACACTTTGAGACTTACGCCTCAGCTTCATGAATGGAAAATGCCACAATACCCAACTGGGCAAATTAAAACATAGCTCCTACTTGACATTGTGTTTCATAAACAAAGAGTATAATTTTAAATTTCATTATGCTGCAATAGATACAAATCACACAAATTTAAGTGAATATAAATTTGGGTTACATTCATTAATACAACATAGTTTTAGCACTTGCTTTGTAGCGATTATCGCCACTAGCAGGAAACTAGCTTAACTTTAGAAACTCTAAGCAACTTCATTCATTGTAGCATCAAATGAATCTCCCGAACATTTATTCTTTCAAATAGCACCCTCTTGGCTACCTCGACGCTTTGCCTCTAAAAGAGTGAGCTAGCCTATGACTCAGCCTTCTCAACCTCTACATTGTAGTAAAGTATAGCCAAGGTGATTTTACAAGGCCCATCTCAACCATAACTTCATCAATCAACTTTATTATGGAAGCAACCTCTGTCGATTCCCGAACCGAGCATGGCATAGAGCCATGCATGTCATGTATAACTCACAGTCTAGAAGATTTCTTGGAGCTAATTTGGCGGCAATC